ATTAAGGTCAGTGTTTCTTCTACTGGTAAGGAGTTTTATACATCGAAACAGTCTTCTTTTACATCTTTTTTTGCCAAATCTTGTGGTGTTTCACAAAAACCAAACTATATTTAAGGAGTAGGTTAGTGTTCCTTTTTTAATACAAATTAAAAAAAATAAATCACAAAGCAATTTTTTTAAATTATTGTTGTAGTGTCTGGATTGCTGAATGTGAAAGTTGCCAACGGACAATTCTGTTCCACTGCTCCAAATATATTCTGGGAATTGTAATGTTATATTTCCCAAGCAGCAGGAGCCATGGAGATTGTGTAGTATATAGCCTCCAAAGTCTTTTTTTTTTGTTGTTGGTTTTTTTTAAAATTATTTTTAAAATGTGATGTATTATTAGAAGGTTAAAGATGAGCGATATGAACAATAACTAAATGTCTTGATATTTCAATTTAATAATTTAAATTATTCACAGTTTAGTGAAATTAAGGAAACTGAAGAGATGCATTCCTCAGCTCCAGGTTTCATCTCAGAAAGAAACACTACTGGATGGAGTAACATTCCGGCAAAAGTTTGAATGCATAAGAAGCTCTGTGGGACTGTACTGGAAAATCTCTAATGGATCACATAGACCCAAGTCTTTGGTCAGTTGATTCTTTCCCCTGCCATAGAAAAGACTTCTTAAAGACTTCAGTGTAAAGTTGGTGTGTAAATAAATGTTTGATAACTGTAAAGCACATACGTACACAGAAACACAGACACACATGCACACTGGAAAATCACCTTCTACTTTTGTTCCCCTTATGTACTATGATTAGTGCAAGAAATCTCAGCCAAGGGCTCTCAGAAAATTGAAACAAAATGGTTAACAACATCAACATTTAAATTGTCCACTTAAAAAATAAATAATTCAAATGATACTGAACGTGTCTATAGTGTGTTCATTAATTAGTGTTATGACAGTTGCTTAATCATATAATAATTGGGGTGTTTTCTTTTCTTTATGACAGGCTGGTGAGGTTTCTTTTATTTGCTCCAGATCTCCTTCCTCAGTTTATTCATTAACATCCAGCAATTTCAATATTAAGCAATTACACTTGAGCACCTGAGTGAGATTTAGGGGACGTGTTCCCATTAACCGCCTAATATCCTTACAAATTCTGGTTGCATGTTATTGTTTTACTTTTGGGGGAAACTGTTAGTGATAGACCAAGATCTGTGGTTAGAGGATGGTGAATAATTTGACTCAAGACCCTTCACTCCCTTAATCATTTCTGGCACCAGCTGAAAATATTTGACAGTGCTTGGATAGATTTATTCCTTTGATTGCTTCTTGGCATTGCTACAAAATGCATTAAAAAAGTCCTAATCTTTCTTATCCTATGTTTAAGAATCCTCTTTTGACCTGTTTGAGAATATCAAAGTGCAAGCTAGGATTTTTCTAAGTGACCTGGAGACTTCAGCTGATGGTGAGCTGGGACTGCCAAGAGAACTACAACACTCTCGAAGGCAGTGATTCAAGCAATAATAATGTTCGACCTTGCTAGAGAATGCAAAATAAGAAAAATATCCCCTGAGGCTCAAGTGATAGGTTAAGACTCTTCAGTCCAGACATAATAATGGGGAAAAAGATTTGTCTAATTTTGAACATGGTATTTTTAACTTGTTCTGAAGACACAGGGTCCCTTTAAGCATTCCCTGGTAACTGTTCCAGCTGAGAAGGCAAACGAGCCAATGAGGCTGTGCCTTCACAGCATAAAAGGTCTGTCATGGCACAGAGGGGGAGTGAATTTGTAGTGAGAAGGTATTGCTGCCTGTGATGTTTGCAGTCAGGCTGCTTGACTTGGTGAGTTTACTAAAAACAATGTGGTAATTGCTGGTACAGGATCCTCTGCACTTTGTTTCCTGGAAAATTGCTATAATTTCCTTGGGAAATTGTACAGTACTTCTAGTCTGATTTGCTTTCTCTAGTGTGATACCCTGTTGTGAGCTGGTGAATTGTGAAAAGGTAGAAAGTCAATCAGGGCTTCCTTTTCCAATGAAGGGTCTCTTAGATGTTATGGCTCCTTCACCTCCAGCTTTCGTGGGACTGCGGCCATTAAAGAAGGGACAAGAAAACACCAGCAGTTATTACAGCACAGCTTCAAGATAAGAAAGCTGGATAAAACCAAAAGTGTAGTCAAAGTTATGAGGAGGGTAAGAGAAATTGTATATTAAAACCAAATCTTTATTCAACTAGGAAGGCCCTTCCAACAGAAGTGTTAGAGACAACCTACAGTGAAGTGGAGAACCTGGATATTTGAACAAAGGCCTAAGGGGATTTCTAAAGAAAAGCAGCCAGTTCCATTTCTCACTGAGTGAAGGCTGCCTTGGGAAGGAGAAAATAAAGTAAAACACCACCTGTGTTCCTGTTTGACTGGAGAAAAGCATAGGCCTGGGGAGGAACAAAGAACTAAATAATTGAGTTTAAATAATCAATTCACATAATCGTGTTCTCTGAATAGCATTTTCTTGCTATTAACTCTCTAATAATTTCATTCCTATAATGTTTTTGATCTTAATATTCTGAGTATTTAATGGTTATTCTGTTTTCTAGATGAAGAATTCAAGATCTTAAAATAAATTCTGGTTTTATACAGAAAATTCTGTATAAAAAATTGTGATTGTATAAGAAAACTGAGGCATAGAAAAGTTAAAACTAAAAAGTCTGGGGTGAAGACAGGTGCTGAAATTAAATCCCTTGACTCTTAGTCATCCACCTGGATAAATCATGCAATTAAATTTGCATCTATTTTCTCAGTTCTCAGGTTTATCAGTGATGCAGTGCAGTGCCACCTGAAAGAGCTGCATTAATACAGCTGGGATTTCACTTCACCTGGGCAACAATGACATTCACAGAAGAGATGTCCCATCTGCTGCAGTAAGAATGCCATCTGTCCTCTCAGCATTGTACTCCATGCAGCAAAACAAGTTTTGAGGGGAAAAAGGTATCCTTAAACAGTCCTTATCCACACCTCCAGTGGGTTATGGTTTTCCAAGGGTGGAATTATGGAGACACTGAGAGTCAGTAATGTAGGAGAAATATTAAATCTTGGGCTCTTCCCAAACACAGGTTCTGGCAAGCTTAAAAATCCATTGCCCCATCCAATCTACCTTAATCTTTGTCTAAAATGATTTAGTACCCCCAAAAATAGGACAGAGAATAGATAAGAATTATTAAACTTTTCCAGTATTAACCATATCATAATGAATGATGTTTTTTCCTAGAACTATTTTTGCAGTTGTTTCTGCCCAGGTCACTCACCATTGCACAACACCCTTTCACTAATGTTGTCAAGTATTGTGTGTGTCAACTAATTGTTTATACAAAGAGGGAAAGTTTTGCTAATAATTTTTTTCAATATTCTGAATTTTCTCTTCCTGCTGGTTGTTCTCCCTCTTTTATTCTCTACTGAATACATAGCATATCTATCCTATTTTTTTCTTTCTTTTGTCTGTTAATTCTTTTCACTAAGTTGTTTCCTCTACAAATGTTACTCTTCAGGGTTCTCCCAGTCTTTGTGGATTTCCCCACCTTTTGGTTTTAACTATCCCAGTGTTCCTGGAAGATACCGGTATACATCCTTAAATTTAGGAATCAAAACTAACCTTTAAGTGGATTTGCTTAAAATAACCTCATGTTCCTAAATTACTCTCGTTTGGAGCAAGACCAGGTGTCCTGGCATGGAGCTTGCCTGGAGTCACCGACCAGCTCCCAGTTACCACAAACACCTAGAGCTGATGCCAAGAGCACGTGCAGCTTTTGTCCCTTTGTCTAGCACAGAACATGTTGCTCTCCTGGCCTGAGAACATCAGCAGTCGAGCTGTGGGATGTGCATTAGTTGCTGACTTCCCCCAGCTGATCCCAGGTACATCCTGGCTCATTACGTGTGTGAGGTGCAGCAGTGAATGCAAAGAGCAAGACAGGCAGTTTCTTGGCTGAAAAGGCTGAATTACCAAGCAGAGGCTATTTCTGTATCTGTGATTTGTCAGATGAATTGTCAGGCCTTAGGACTCTTACTACCTATTGGAAAATGTGTGGTTATCTCTGTTAGTTCCCCAGACTGTCTCATAGCAAAAAGTTTTAGCACCTCTCTGTTCTGCTTGTAAGTTGTCATCTGTATGTGAATCAATTCTGCAGTGACACAATTCTGCTCAAGGAGTTACCTTCCAACCCTTAAACACACACAGGTATATTTATTTATATACATTATATTTTTATCTAAATAAATAGAAAGCCACTTTTTTTTTTTTTTAAGGATAATTACTCAGAGATGCTTTCACAGACTCTTCAAAGGAAATCTGGTCTTCTATGTTGATCTTCACAAGGTTGTTTAGCCCAACATAATAATATCCTTCATTTGGATTCAATTATTTAGAACTTTTAAAAAGTGTTACAAGCATGTAAAAATACATCTTTAGATTTTTAGGATTCATGTACACTCAGCAAGGCTTTAAGAATTCATTTAATTCTTTTTAAGCACCAGCAATGTAACAGAATTCCTTAGACAATATACTTCCCATTATTTTAAAGAGTATGGCTTTTTAATTGATAATTTCTATCCACTGAAACTTTAGTGTTAAAATTATAATTTAGATCAACTGGAAAAGTTTAAGGTTAATGTTCAGATTACAAAACTTATGAAATTAGTATACCATAATGAACAGCTGATGCATATTTTGAACTCAAGAGGACAAAGCGAAATTTTGATGCCAGATTCTGACATACAAATTCAAGCATGCAGTCCACAAAACCTGTACCTTGAGCAGGGAGCCCTAGCTTGCATAAGACTTCAGAAAATTAACAAACTAAAGAAAACTAAGCTGAGCAAAAGTAGAAAAGATACTGGTTTTAAACGTGATTTTCAAGAAAAATAGAATAACATAAATCTGGAATGTATTATATTGATGAACTTACCTGATTTCCTCTCTGCCTTGTCAATTTGAATATTTAGCTGCTTAAAAACCCCTACCTTCAGGTAATTTTGCCATCATATCAAAAATCTGATGGGTGTTCTTCCGACAGATATCGACTGGATCATCCAGGAGCCCAGTGAGGGCAGAAATCACTCCATTTTGTATCAGCCCCTGCCTGAGAACACAGGAGGACAGAGGTAACAAAGCATAATAAAACTCAGATACACATGTGAGATACCTAACTACTCTTTTGTTATATTTATCTTAAAAAAACGTAGAGATCTGTTCCTATGTTCTCACTGGAACATCTTTATCACTTCCCATACCATCCAGTAAACTTGGAATGGCACCCACCTGCCGACACTGTGCATACTCATCAGATAGAGAACTTCTGTTGTTTTTTGCCGGACGGTGTTGTCAGGATGGCCCAGCAAAGTCTTCAGGTTGTCCAAGAATCCTGTGAGACACCACAGTTCATCTTAATGTTTCTTACCTCCAGCATCAGTTTGAAATAGCAATGCTCATTTTTATCTCACAATTTGAAGTGCAAACAATTGGAAATTTTAAGTTGTCCTGCCAGTGAAATGCTCGTTGTCAAATCTCAAGTAGGGAAGAAACTTTCAAATTTCAAGGCCTACTGCCAAAAATGTCAGGCTGCAAACAAGCTGCTGAGTTCTCCATCAAGTTAAATCCTAATCCTGCAAATATAAAGTGACATAACTCTAAAAATAAGTCGGTGGAGCTATTGATGTCTTTGGAAAAGCATGTGTTTGCAAGGTTGATGATTTTTCAACTTCTTTTGGTATAGCACAGGCTACGGAAGAACACACAGTGTTGCTTTACACACAGAAATAAATGTGGTGAACCATTAATGATTCCTGTCTATGCACAGGTAGCACTGACCAAAAAAAGCCACAACCCCAAACAAAAAACAATCTTTGATTGCTACTTTAATCAAAAAAGAATGTAAAAATTTTTAAATGTGATTATTATCTTTAACGAGGGAGAAAATATGAAGGAAGTAAATGGAAAAAAAGCAGTGGCAAACTGGAAGACCTTTTTAGTGTTACATAAAGAGGTATGTAGGCACAAAACAGACTGCTAAAAATTGCAAAAAGTAAGCTTGTGTTTTTTCTTTTCTCCAAAATCCAAACCTAGGATTCTTTTAAGTGCTGGGATAGAGGCTTTTTAAAATAGTGATGGCCAGATGTAATTGCGATGAGTCTGAACAATTTGGTTATATTGCCTTCTATCTTAATTTCTCCTGAAGTTCCAGGCTTGGGGTTTTGTTTCGGATTTTTTTGTTTATGTTGTTTGTTTTGTTATAGGCTTATTCTACAACCACTAAGATACCTCTGAGATGGAGTTCTGCATACAAAGCTCTTTATGTTTTGTCTCTCTGATAAAATGATATTTGGATGTGGCATTTTATTCACTGCTGAAAGAATTAATGACAGAAAACTACTTCACTGTAGATTCTGTAAACTTGTACATCTTTTCTGAAAATTATTTTATTAGTTACTAATTAAAGTGTTCAAGAGGATTTTTTCCTGTTATTATCATGGGTTCTGAGATATAAGTATTTTGAGCACCTCAAACATGACAGATCCGGGAAGGTAAAACTGTCCTCTGTCATGTGTCTAACAAAGGAAAACAAAGCCAGGGATTTTGCCTTTTTTCCCTGTTCTAAGATACCTAAAAGTCTTTCATTTCCCCCTTTCTAAATAAAATATATTTAGCCATTTTATGATAATAGAAATTTATAAAATCACCGCTTTATTTATGTCTGAAAGGTTAATGGATAACAGAATTAGACAAGATTCCAGGCAGAAGAAATTTAACTAAGTGACAACGGGAATGGTGATGGTGGGGTTTTGAACTTTGGACTAATTAAGCTTTTTTTTTTTTTTTTTAGTTAGTCTATGTTAGGAACTGGCTAATTCAGAATAAAGACTGGGGACAAGGTTTAGAGGTGAATATGACAGTACACAGTTAATGGTTGAACTTGATGATCTTAGAGGTCTTTTCCAACCTTAATGATTCTGAGGTTCTATGGAAAAAACAGAATATGAATTAGTCTTGTACTTAAGGGCTGAGGAAACTTACAGTGGGGCATTGATAAATCCTAAAGTGAGGATAACTCTTAAAATACCGCCTTGTATATGGTGCTATAATATTCTTTACCTTTAGAAAGGTAAAGAATATTATAGCGCCAGATACAAGGCAGTATTTTACTGTAAAAAAAAACCCAGTAAAATTTTCCTGGGCATTTTGGGTCGTTAAAGATATTGTAAGGAAAAAGTAATGAAAGTAAGTAAAGTGGGGTTTCCCCTTCACCCTGTCCCGCTGTGTCAGAGCTTATGCCAACACATCACTTACCTATTTCTATTGCCTGGTAGACCTTTTCTGGATCATGGACCAGATCGCAGAGTGCCATCAGTGCCCGCTGCTGCGTCAGCAGCTCGGCCGACTGTAACTCCTCGTTCAGCTTGGGAAGGGCCCTCCTCCCAAACGCCAGGGCAGCTTTGGTGGGATCTATATCAGGGGGCAGGTAGGCTGAGATACGAGGCTGTGCCATCCCAAAGTTTCCTGGGAAGGATTCTCCCTATCTCTAAAAATACTCCGAAATGGGTGTACTTGGTGACTGGGCAGAGAATGTGCCAAAATGACACCTAATGGCTTTGAACAATGCTCTGTGTCCCACAGGAGATATTTTAGCACATGTACACTGTCAGGAAGCTATGAAAGAGGCTGGGCTGGTGCACAATCTTCTGGTTTAATTCTTGACTGAACACTGGAAAGAAGAAAAAGAAAGAGAAGCTTAAAATTGTGAAGTGATGGAGGTAATGTTTTGCAAAGTATTAAAACAAAGTGGCCCAGTGCCCCAAACCAGAGAGGGCCTCAAAATAATAGTATTAAAGCAAAAGCAAGCAAAGTGACATTGTTTTGAAAAGGATCTAGTTGAAACCGGCCCTCAGAATTCGATAACGTTTGATAGAATGGGCGATGGCTGCCCTCCCCTTCCCTCAGCACCGAAAGCGGCTCTGCTGGCAGAACCATACGACCCCCAGTATTGAAAACTGCTCCACAACAAACAAACAAACAAACAAAAAAACCCCAAACAAACCCCCATACTGCTGAGAAGTTAAAACAACCGCTAGACAACTCCACTTCTCTCTTCAAAACAAAAGAAATGCGCCCGATAAGCGAAGGCTCCGTGTCCCCCGTGTCCCCACCGTGTCCCCGGCTCCCGCCCCTCAGCCCCGGCCGGCCCCGCACCGCTCGCGTGCCCTGGTTGCCACAGCGCCCGCTGTTTGCGTACGCGCCGCTTCGTGAATCGCGGCCGCTCAGCCGAGCACCGAGCGCGGCCCTGCGCCAACAGCGTAAGAGCCGCGCGTGGCCGTGGCTGCCGTGAGGGAGTTACGCCAATGGCGTAGTGGGGCGCTGAGGGGCGGCCCTGCCGGGCAGGGGGGTCTGTGAGGGCGCGGCGGGGACGGCGCCGTGGGGTCCCAGTGTGAGGGCCCTGCCGCCTCGCTTCTCTGCTGAAGTGTGCAGTCTCTTTGCTCGCCCCATTTTCAAAGTAATTACAGTTGAGAAAAATTAAAATTGAGGAAAATTCAGAGGGAACAAAACGGTGATCGAGTTAAGGGCAGAAAGGCAGCAGGAGAGCGCCTTGAGGTGCAAGGGTCGAAGGGAGCCCAGGGAGTTTTAGACCAGGTTTTCTTTCCCAGTCTTTTCCAGAATGTCACTACGAACAGCTACAATGCGTAGTAAAGGTTTCTGTTATCATTACGTAGTTTCACAGATGTTCAGAGGAAGGGGCATGGGAAGAACGTGCCATTGCAGTGTTGCTGGCAGAGTTTAAGGGTGTTCTGGGTTGTGAGATGTGATCTGGCATCAGGAAAAAACCTCTGGATAGCCTGTACTGTAGAATAGTTGGTCTCAGTGCAGATAGTGAAATTGTCGAGATGTTTTTCATTATGCCTGAGTAACAATTATAATAATCAAAGTTTTTAAACTGGATTCTACAAATCCAAAGTAATTCTGATCAGCCGGATTAAAATACATCACAGGAATAGATTCTGCTTTGTTGATCTTCAAAATCCATAAAAGAAAAATTACTACTTTAAAAAGTATTTTCTGGAAAGGATTAATTTTTTTTCTGCAACATGTTGGAGCAGATTATTTAAAGTAGAGTTTACTTTCCTAACTATACTTCCTCTAACTATATATTTGTAAAGTTTCATCCTATTTCCAGAGGAAGAATGTGAGCTTTTTTCAGGTAGAAAGGGCAGGAGAAAATCGGAGATTTCTTTTATCCTTCAGTGTTGACTCTGCTCTGAGCATAAGTTTTGCTGTCTTGTCCTTCACCATAGCTTGGAATACCGATGTTGTTAGTGGCCATGACGTTAACTTATTTTATGTATGCCTTCTGAATGCCTGCCTCAAATCCTTTGTCTATCCACAGAATCTGCTGGTGCTCCTGTTCTTGCAGCGTTGAGATAAGGAGGGTTGTGATGCCATGGAGACACTGTGTTCCCAGCCCTCCCCGGTGACTGAATCCCCTTTCAGCTCTGTGAGAAGAGCAAATCTGGATCTCAGCACCGATCATTCTCAGTATTTTTAGCAGCTTTGTATTTCTTATATTTTTTTCCCTCTAATGGTGTGTCTAGTTTGTTGATTTGGTTGAAACTGGGATATGTTTATGCACGTGTGAGACTTGGATTAAATACAATAAATGTAAGTGAAGATGGCCCATCAATTTGATATATTTCTGTTTGGTTGCTTTGGTTCCTCCTGTACTTTTGCATTCACTGAGATTGTTGAACTGGGGTGTGTTTTTTTGTAGTTTAGATTGTGAAAGAGCTCTAGGAGATGAGCAGTGAGTCAGCCTGTGTACATATGACAGAAGCGAGTTCGTGTTTGAAACTCTTACCCAACTAGTGGAGTTTTTCTTTTTAGAACTTTAGTTCCAACATTAATTGAGACATTAATGTTGCCATACAGTCATTCAAGCTTGCCAAAAGGGTGGGAGCACACCACAAAAAGGCTCTAGATCTCTCAAATTTTATATGGTCACAGGTAGCATAAGTAGAACTGCCCATATGGTAATAGATAAATACTGCAATGTTGCCCTCTTTGGTGAATAACCCATCAGCTGCAAATCTGGATTCTTTGGGGGGAAGTAGCTGTTCTGGTGTGGTTGAGATCACATGGGTGTCTGAAGTGGTTTAAAAGCAATTCCTCACAAAAGAGAATAGAACATTAATTCTAAGTAGTGGACTAGCAATTTTGTTGAGCATTATTCTTATTGTAGGGTTGTAAAACACAACTGTAGGGTTTTTGTTATGTACTTACTCGCTGTTTAAAATTACTTATCTGCATTCATTTGCCCTTTAACATTTTCAGTCTGTTGTAGGAGTGGGAGAGGCTTGTCTCCTTGTTCCAAGCCCGTTCCAGCTTTATTAAAACATGACCGTTAGAATGGGTCCTTTGCTCCTGAAATCTGGAAATAAAAATCTGGAAATTTAAATCCTAATGAAATACGTAGCAAAATCTTTTAGCATCCTAAATTGCAGTCTGGCATCCTAAATGCTGCCTAAATCAATGAGTCGATTAACAACGCTTAGGTAATACCAAAGAGCTGTGTGATTTCTTATTCCTTGTTTTTGGTGTTTTGCACATTAGAAAGCAAGATTACTAATGACTAGAAAGACATTTATATAATTCAGAATGTCTCATTAGTGGCATGCGCATCCTGACTCTAAAGCTGAGATGAAATCAAGTTGAAATGCTGAAAAAATCCCTTAGGAGTTTCTGTATAATTGTCACTATGCTTAATATTAGCACCGTAAGAGTTTCCCACTCCCTTAGCTCCTTGGCAGTTGTGTTAATCCTGCTCTTTGTATCCATATATATAACTACGTTTAAAATAAAATGGAACTGTTTCCTTATACGGGATTAGGGGCCGTTGGGTTTATTACGGAGCAGTTTCTGATCAGAGGAACCTGCATGACCACTAAACCCAGGGTTTTTCTTCTAAACCCAGGGTCCTGTGTGTAGTTAAATCACTCCAACTCCGCCTTCCCGGTCTGTGGAAGAACGGGAGGAAGGGAATTGTTGCAAGCCTGTTGCTATGGCCACGTAGCAGCGGGCTGAGCTGTTTGTGTGGCTGGAATCCTGCTGCATCAGCTGCTGCACGGTGAGTCCTTCCTTACGCTTTGCTACATGATGGAAATGCTCTTATTAGAAACGTTCTTTGAACGCCACTGAGAAACTGGTACCCTATTGAGGGTCCCCTCCCCCAGCAACCCACGAGGTTTTATTGCATAACCAAATTAATGTCTCAGGTGAGACATCTAAATGCATTTGTGATTTTCATGCGAGCATTGTTCTTTTTCCATGTCGGACTATCTACTGATTTCATTCTTTCTGGGCTGATCTTGGATGAAAGTTTGATGTTGTGCCAAGAAATGTGGCAGCTTCATCTTTCCTCCTTTCTCCTTCTGACCAAATGAAATCTGGTATCCCCTAACATTTATTACTGTGCTCAGTGCAGAGGCATTTGAAACAGTGATGAGCAAGATTTTTAAATTAAACACTGCAAAATCCTTTGAGGGCGAGAGTGCAAGCACTTGTGTTGAATTAAGTGAGCAATTCTCTGCCCTCTCATGGAATTAGAGTTGGCTCCTTGTAGTTTCAGCACTGTTTGCTCCTACAGCTGTGCACACTGAAGTGGTCCCTTTTACATAAGGAACAGGTTTTCTTCAACACAAATTAAGTCAAAGAACTGCCAGTTGTACCAAACAAACAAACATAAAAACAAACAAACAAGAAAAGATAATGAGTCTGTAAGAACTTCGTTTTTGTTTGATCATGCTGTCCCTGTACTGAGGTAATTCCTGAATCCTCTGTTTCTCTTTGCATACTTTCTCTCAGGTAGTATTTATCTGAATTTGGAGGATGAAGTCCAGCCTAATGCATTTGGTTCCCCCAGTGAGCAGGGACAGAATAATCTCCCAGTTTCCCAAGGTAAGCATTCTTTATAGCCCACACTGATCTCTTTCCCCTGTGCTAATACTATTTTATTTTAATTTAATGTACACTTGTTGTCTTCTGTTAAAATTACCAATTATTTAAGAATTTCTTTCGAAGTTTAATGTGACCTCAAATTCCCATTCAATGCTGACCTCTTTAATAATAATAATCCTCCCTTCTTCTTTTTAACCTTTACAAAAAGTGACTCTTACCACAAAAGTGTTATCCTATAATATTTATCTTGTTATTTCAGCAAAACACTAATAATTACATGCTTAAAGGGCTCCAACACTGGGGGGAAATAGGAATCATAGCTTATCTTAAATATGCAAAAAAAGTCTAATTAGGAGGCTTTGGCTGAAGAATTTGAGGTAATTTTAATTTTCTGTTTGTATAGGTACCTTAGTCATACAGTAGATCAAATGTAGCAGGCACTGTAGAAACACAGACAAAAGCCCTTTGATGTCCCCAAAGAATTTTTTATTTGAAGTATAATAGAAGAGTAAAGGACAGGGAAGGACAAGTAATTACCATTCCATTTTTTCAGTTGTTCAGAAGATCGTTTTAAGGGACTTAGCATATTTTATTCCATGCTTGATCTCAGCCACATATTTTACTTTTAATTTTGTGAAAAATATAATGGGTATTTTTAGCAAATACAACAATAAGTTTTCTTCATTTTTAACTAATTCTTTGTTAAAGGTTAATAATAAAAACAGTGCTTCACATTATTGAAAAGACTTCACAGTAATAATGGCTTGCTGGTGGTGTGCTCCCAGCTGTGTTTGTGCCATGTGTCCCTATTCTCTGTTGCAGTGGTACACACCTGAGGCCTGTCTGCAGCTTAAAGAGCACTTCCATGCCCGGGTCAGGACTGCCTGTCAGCAGAGCACTGCAGCAGCAGGGTGAGTTTGGAATAAACCAGGTATGCAATGAAGGAAGTATATTAAGTTTTTGATAGCCTGCTTTCTTCACTGGCTTTTCCTCCCTCATTCCTCATGTTCCTCACTCCAGTGTGTTTCAAGGCAGCCAAGCCCATGCACGGGGCAGTTCTCTGACCTGTTGGACAGTAAATTAGAATAAAGTGCCTCTTCTTCCTGTAAGTGTCAAAGATACTTTTACTGCTGGCATAAGTAGCACTGAAAAAATGGTGGAGCAGTTTAGCAACAAATAGTGTTTTAGCACCTTTGAATTAAACGCTTCAAAGCATTTACTTGGTTCAAAAGATCCAGCAGATCCAGCCTTGTTGTGTTCTCTGTTGGTGTTCCAAAGGGGCAGATAACAAAGGCCTTGGAGGGATAGAAACACAGCAGTTCTAAGTTTCTTGAAACAGCAAAGAATCTAGTTTTAGTCTTTTTTTTTTTTTTTGGAAATTTACATGATGAGAAGTTCTCTTAAACAATTCCTTAAAACTGGAGCAGAATTCTGGTAAATACATAGCACTGGAAAATCCAAATAAGCTGTTTTATGCCCTAGTAATGATCTTGATGTTATTTTCTTCCCCCACTTTCTCTCTCTCCCAGAACTGTTATCATTACTGATTTAATCTCCTGAAGCAAAGCAAGAAAGCTAAACTATGTTAAAAATCATCCCTTTTCAGTTAAAATAAATAGCTGTACATTTTAGTGGTAAATGCTTCTGTGCTTCAGTGTGAAGGATCTTCCATAAAGTGGAGTTTCTATGAATACTGACAATTAGCTCACTATTCTTTCTAATCTGGAGTTGCTGATTACCACAAGACTTGTCATGATAGGCATCTTTAAATGCAACATTTTATTCATTTCACTTGGGAGTCTTGCTAAAAAAAAAAAAAATTAAGATAAAACATGTCACCTTGAAAGACATGGTGACTTTACTGATTTATAGGAGCACAGTCACTATCATAGTTTCATGTAAATTTGTTACTCCCTTTATTGAACTGAGGCATTTTCCCCTTCCAATATCAACACCTATTTGTTTTGAGGTTTGGGTTTTGTTTTTTGTTTGTTTGTGGTTTTGTTTTGTTTTTTAATTTCCAGAGTAACTTATTCTAGTAACAGAGTACAGCTAAAAAGCTTTACATTTTGGCTTTGTGAATAAAATTAAGCACTTTTCTGTCACTGCTCTCTAGATGTGATTATTGTTCGGTCATTTCAGTAATTTTTTGGTGGAATGGGGGTAAAAGAGCAGCCAGAGTGTTTTGTACAGTACTTGTAAAGCTTGGAAGGAGTAACCATTATCTTCCTTTTCCATTATCCCAAGTAATAAAATATTTCTTTATCATTTGGAAAGCTAGTCTGAGAAATTCAGTAGCTAATGGCTGTAGTTATGACTCTCTGGATATTCCATCAGTGTGTTAAATTGTCTAATCTGAGAAGTTTTTTTCCCCAGTACAAATTAATGGAACACACACCTCCAAACCATCACTTACTTTTTTGCTTTTCCCTGAAGGTCATTGACTTTACTCAGTATTTTCTCAGTAACAGTTAATCAGGCAGAGACATTTCAGCAGCACAGGGGCCTGTGGGCACTCAGTTATTGTTGACTGGCACCAAAAACACCTTCTTTTTTTGGAAATATTAGTCATGTGGCTTGTCAATCAAGATTTAGACTATTTAGAACAGGTAACTTGGAATCAGCATCCCATGGAAGTCTGATGTAACCACAAATAGTATTCAGTAGATTAATTCCTTTGTTTAAAAAGCCATTCTTTGATAGAAAAGAACATTAAACCTCATAAGCCATTTTTGCCAATCCAAGTTTAGGTCAGTAGATACACTCACATTCACTTACCCACCTGTGTCTCCTGAAAGGTACACTCAGCTTCAATTTGAAGAATGCAGGCTGAGTCACCTAAAGCCCATCTGCTGCATCCTGGGGGAGGACCCAGAGCAAAGAGGATTATTTACATGAAGCCAGCTTCAGATTAATATTATTCCAGGTAGTCAGAAAATGTATTGGCTCTAACCTTGTGGGTTATTTTTCACAGAGACACATTCTGGCAGTGGGTTATTTTATTATCAGCAATTTTTTGTTTCTGCACTTAGGGCTTTATTTGTACTGGTAAAGTAAAGGAGAAACTTGTGATTAATTTTAATGCAAAGGATGTGGATACTCTACTGGTCTTATGTGTAAACTGTCAAATGTATGTCACCTGTAGTCAAAGCAATTTTAATTGAATAGAAGCTATGTCCCACTGGATTAAAATTAAGAAAAAAATATGGAGAGTAACAAAGAGACTATTTCTGCTCCAGAAGGGTTTATTTTTTCAGTGACCTTCTTTCTTGCCATCTAAGTCTCTGATCATGCAGCACAGTGGCACTTGGGGAAACTTAGGTCACAGCTACATGTGCTCATCACTTGCAGTTTAAGAATCTAAATCAGAATTTTTAGAGAGAGATTGTTGAAATTGCAGCTAAAACCATGTAACATTTTCAAATATTTATAACAGGCTGAAAATATCCAAAGTGGTGGTGGTAGGAGACCTGTATGTTGGGAAAACCAGTCTTATCAACAGGTATAGTATATCTCAGCAGATGGTTTGATTCTTCTGTTTCTCAGGTCAGTGTTGTAACATTTCCTTGCTGTCCACTTGGAGTAGCACTTCATGAACCTGAACCTGAACTTCATGGGCTTGTTATTAAATGAAAGACAAAACTATGTCTATGGCATGAGAAAGGCTTAATACACCAACACAGGAGGTCATGCCCTAGCACTTCAATCAGTTTATGTTCTGAAGTGCTTTTATCCAGTCAAATATGATACATTGTTTTCTCAAGACATCCAGTCTAGAGGCTAAACAATTGGAAAAAAAATTCCGTGTCTGAGTCTTGGTTTCATGGTTTCTCCTTAGTTTCAGGGCTGTTCACTGAACCCTTTTCAGCCATCCTTGTGTGGGGCCCTGTACTCATTTCTACAGCTGCAAGACTGTAGAAGAAGCTCGAGCAGAAGGACCTTTAAGGCAGAATTCCTTAAAAATACTTACTTGATTCTTTACTGAACGTTAAAAACAGCTCTTATGCTTTTTGTATTTAAGTCCAGTAAACAGATCACTGAATTTCTGTAGCTTAATGTTCTGACTCTCTTCTCATCCTGGGACCTTTCTAGGTGTTTGTGCTTCCTAATTTGTTATACAATATCTCCTATTTTTTGATCAGTGTATTGGTGTTTTCATATATGCTCCTACAATATACAGCAAATCCATAGTTAATTATTTTCTTCATAATTTACCCTAGACAGTGTTAGTTTTGCAGTTCTTTGTAGTTGTGTCTTGCTAGTATTTCATCCCCCTTTTTTTTTTTAATGCAGGTTTTGTAAAGATAATTTTGACCGAGACTACAAGGCAACCATTGGAGTGGATTTTGAAATTGAACGTTTTGAGATCATTGGAATCCCATATAATCTCCAGATGTAAGTTGAACCAACTCTCCTGGGTAAGCACTCCTCAGAGTACAGTCTCAGTAGAGCTTGTATTGCTGCAGGCTCCAGTGGAATAAAGATCTTTTGAAAATAATAAAATTGCACAAAGAATAATGTGATCTGAAAAAAAGGTTCTGTACCTGGACTTGCAGTTTTAGTAAAAATTTGACTGTCTTGGATTTCTCATCCCTAAAATTGTTACAAGCTTGCCAATGACAATTCATCTTGGATGTCTTGAGCCATTGCAGTCGAGGTCTGCCTCGACTTTCACGAAAGAGAAGTGGAAGCTTTTGGCACAACCTTTGTCCAGTTCTAGGGTTACCCCAGTCTGTCATTTGGGTTTAAAAGGCATGATGAGCACTGGACTTGGCTTTACTGGGAGTTTTATTCCTGCAGCCATTGAAATGAATGTTAAGGTGTCCAGTGATTTCAACATCTCTTAGTTAGGAGTTAATTAATTATCCCCAAGTCATAGAACAACTGGAGTGATTTTATTAGTATGTGAACCTGTTATCTTTGATTGTCAGACTAGTGGGAATCCTGCCCTTCTTTCACCAGCTTTGGGTCTGCTGAAGGGAGTCCTTTGGTGTTTCCAGTGGCTGGCAATGTTTTTCTGTAGAAGGCATTATGGAATTATCTGTACTGTGTGTAGAGCAGAAATAAGGTGCTTTGCATGAGGTATTTTAGTGCATGAATCTTAAAAACCTTTTCACTTAGGAACACCTTTTTTCAGTGACATCACTGATGTGAATAGATGGCTCATGGTATTTATTGAAATATACTTAGGAGTCCATTTCCCACTCATTTCAGTGCAACTGTGTTTTGGAAAATTCTGCCAGGCCCTTGAGTCTCTCTAAAAATGTGCATTCATGTAGCAGTGTTTTGCAAAGTGAAACAATAAGGTTCATGAGCTACTAAACATCAGGTTGCATTATGTGCCGAGTCCTCAGGAGCTGGGTGGAACATTTCCATATGATAAGCACTAGTGCCCCCTCTTGCTGAGAGATTTCCATACAAGATAAATTTGCAAGTATCTGTGAGTGGCAGTACTGGGCTGCCACAACCCCAAACCTCTGCAGTGCTGGCAGTACCTGAGGGCACTGCATATCATGTTCATTAATAAAAAGCACTGTCTTGATTTTATTTAATGGTGTCATTAGTACCTGGTAGACTGAGCTGTAGGTCTCTAATTTGCAGAGTATGGACAGGTATCACATCTAGCAGCTGCAAGACTAACATGGGTTAATACATGATTTATTTAGTGTTAGCACAGGAAATGTACAAAATTAGATTGCCCCAGAAATCCATGCAAATGGCATAGATGAAAAAAAAAATGTTTTGAGGAAAAGGTATTACCATGTAGAATAAAAATAATTGAATTGTGTCTCCAAAATGAACAGTATTTAAAAAAAAAAAAAAAAAAGAGGTTAAAACAGAGTTCACATCTTCATTAAATAATAGAACTTTACTGTATTTCTATCAGGAGTTAATGAATAACATGTTCCAGATGGTGACACTTCTCTGGTATCACATTCTTCTCTGCCTTGTGCCAGTCTGCTGCTTCATTACCATGTTTACTCAGGTTACACTGGGTTTCATTAACCTGAAATTTCTTTTTTCCCCCCATTGCACAGATGGGACACAGCAGGTCAGGAAAAGTTCAAGTGCATTGCATCTGCTTACTACCGAGGAGCAGAGGGTGAGAACGATATTAATTTGATCCTGGCTGTGTCAGGAGGTTGTATTTTATACAGAAGTGTATATGCCTGTATGCTTCTTGGAAAGGTACCTGTAGGCACAATGGGGTGGGATGGATTGTCTGTTACTGCAGGGAAGAAGGGATGAAGAAATTTGTGAGTTGGTGTGTTGTCACATCTCCAAGCTCTGAATGTTTTGATGATGCAGTGATAAAAATTGGCACCCGTATCCAGGGGAAAAGAATTTGGGTTTGGGTGAGATTAATGTTGGAGTTCAAAGTGGGTATTTCTGGCACTTCCCTTGGTAAGAGACAATTTCTGCAGGAATTAGTGGTCCCAAAACAAAAGGGTTAATAGCACTGTAGATTGCAGACTACAGCTAAAGATGAAATAAGGTTGAAGACTAAGGACTTAAGTCTTACTGGGTGCTAGAAAAGGAAAAGGAATGAGCAAATGGGTAGTCTTCCATCTCTTGTGTGTTAAATCTGTTCTTGCACCTTATATGTAAACATTCCCTCTGTTTAACAAGATGGGTTGGAGAGAATTTTGATACACCTTCTAACTTAATTACTTTTTATTCTGTTCTTGTCTTTTATTGCAGTTATAATAACAGTGTTTGATCTGGCTGATATCCAAACTTTGGATCACACCAAGTAAGTTTCTGCATTTTGGCTTATCCTTGAAAGGTTTTACAGCAGGTTTAATTACCTTCCATATGTAGGTGTTGAGAACTTGCTGGATCATGAGTGTATTTGCTCTTGAGCTCAGAAATGAAAAATGACAGTCACTTGTTTGGATTGCATAGGGTGGGATTTTTCTGAAGAAAATGCAGGGCATAGATTTGAACTACTTACACTTGACTTCCTTTAAAGTCAGTGCAGAGAAAAAGGCACTCCAGTCAAAGCTTGATCCTTCCAAAACTAGACATGCAGGAAGAGATGAAGTGCACCCCAAAAGCATTCTTTTTTTACTTCATTTGCTATAAATAGAATAACAGGCTGCCATCTAATGTAAATGGAGAAAAGGATGAGATGCCTCTCATGCGTAACGTCTCAAGAGCCTCTCGTTTTTAAGGTACACTGATATCCCCAAATTATTTTCTTTCTCTAGTTTCTGAAGTGATTCTGTGGGGAGGCAGGCTGTCAAAAAGAGGAGAGAAAATTAACAACTCAAAGTACTCGTAGATTTAGCTTAACTGACTGGTTCAGGTACTTGCAGGGGTTTGGTTACAGCAGCACGTTAATTGTGGTGAATAAACTCATTCTGCTTTCAGTGCAGGATGCAAAACCCTACATGGATCTATGATCCACACCACTGTCACAGTTCAGAGCATTTGTATTTCTAACGTGCTGTTTTGACTGTAATGCAGGTATAGGCTTCTTTCCAACCTGTTCTCTGTCTTATTTGAATGTGTGCTAGGGTACCTAGCTCATTTACATAGGACTTTGTAAAATAATATATATATTAGTGTCTCTGCTTGGCTGAAAGTAATTGAAGCCTGTGAACCTGATTTCCCACACACGCACACACTCCCTTCCCTCCTTGACTTGTGTTGGATGACTCAAGAGAAACTTGATTGCCAGAGTAACAAAAATATAAAAGCTTGTGAGACAAGAATCATACAGCCTTCATAGGGAGCTGTTTTATAATGCTGAATAGATTATTTCACTCTTCTTTATTCCCTTTTTTATCTAATCTGCTATGTGGTTCAGACCTTTTCCTTTTTCCCTGCTTTCTTGTTCCTTATCTTGATCAAAACTTTGCCCCCTCCTTAATACCAAGAAATGCCCTCTCTGGGTGCTAAAATTATTGTTGAATTTGTACTCTGAATGTGGATATCTTTGAACTTCGTTAGTGGAAGACATTGTATTCAAAGGAGTTGGAACAGCTCCTGATCTCTTTCTGTCTGGAAAAAAAGGCTTTTGATCCTCTCCCATAAGTTCATCCTCTCACTTTTCTTGTGACCCCGTTATCTGTTCCTTTCTCCTACATTCCTCTTTCCCTCTGACTGATTCTGTCATTTCTCTTTTGTATTTCAGACAGTGGTTAGAAGATGCATTGAGGGAGAACGAACCAGATTCCAGCTTTGTCTTTCTTGTTGGAACAAAAAAAGATTTGGTGGTGAGTAAATTGAATGCAGATAAGGAAACCAGATTTTCCCTAGTTCCTCTCCTGATTTCCCTTACAAGTTGTGCACAATGTTGTTGAGATAAAGACCTTGAGCAAAAACCTGAAGTAAATAGAAGAGTGTACTTGGAAACAATTTAAGAAGAGGCTTTCTGAAAAAATGGGTAGTTATGGAATATTTCTTGCAGAGTGTTTTTCAAGCAGATACAAACATACCTAATGAAGGATTTTTTGATTTGTTTTTTTAGGGGCAGTGTGTTCATTGTTCAGGAACAGGGAAGATTTATTCCTTAGTTGAATATGACATCACTGTCAGAAGAACAGGATATAATGCATTCTCTCTATACCATTCTCAGTCTTGTGTTTCTCTTCCTACAGCTATCAATACTTAGCTTTTAAAGATGTCAAAACAAACTTGTTTCATTTGCTGTTTAATTGATTCTTTTTTATTTCCACCCAGCTGCCACAATATCACTTCTGCACTTTGTTTCTTACCCTTCAGTGAAAATAAGTCCCGGGAAACTGCACGTCTGTCAGTTTTTCTGGTACTTTGTGTAGTTTATGCTGCTTTCTCATAGTTGCACTGAAAGCTAAATGTGTCAGACCTGTGAGGACACACATCTGAAGCCTTGTCTAAGCTAGAATGCCTTACTGGAACTTTGTTTCTGATTTTAGAATGTAGTGCTTTCAACTGAAAGGGAGACAAGAGCAAAGCAAAGGATTTTAGGTTCTAGGTATTACTTCAGTGCTAAGCCAGTGTCTTCCCAACTGGATTCATTCTACTTATCATCTTGATGTCACATAATCATTTCCAAATTTTTAGATTTCTTCTCAATTTTGCAGGGGTTCTCCACTGTAAGACAATCTACAGAAAACTGTACAAAGATGACTGGTGTCACCCATCCCAAATAGGCTAGAAATGGAAAGGAAATAGCTCCCTACTGCTTATATATTGGTACAGTGATTACTCCTGTTAGCCCTTACTTTGTTTGAGGGCTGTGGGAGGTGAGTGCAGACTCCCTGTTGAAAGCAGCACTAACTGTGAATGTTCTTGCAGTCCTGTCTGACTGCACAAGTTCTAAGGCAAGGTCAGAAAGGCCGCTGAGAAACTGGAAGCCTCACAGGACAGGTGTAAACAGCACCTCTGTGCTGTTACCAGCCCCAATGCACTTCAGTGTTGCAGTTATTCCATGTTGTTTCCCCAGTCAGATGCTGTGTGTGGAAGGACAGAGCTGGATGCCATCCGCTTCGCTAAGGAGATGCAGGCAGAGTATTGGTCGGTCTCAGCCAAAACAGGTAAATTACTGCAAAATATGTAAAAATAACCACAAGAACTGATGTTGAGGTGGGAGGAACTTATTATCACACCCCCTCCCCACCACTCCCGTTTTTTTTTGTTGTTGTTCTTGCATTTTGTTGCTATTAGAAACTTCAGGTTTATTAATGATCAATTTTTATTTGAGCGTTTTTATTTGTGCTCGCACTTTCATGTTGGCAGAAAGAAGTAATTGAGCTGCTTTGCAGTGTCTGAGCATGTTTAATTCATAGATGGTTACATAAATACACATGTGCACCACTATTCAACACTTGCAATGGAAAAAGATTATACCACAAACTGAATTCTCTCTGTTGCTGGCTAAAAATAAAGGAGCAGCACAGGGTACAGTATTCCAGAATAAGAAAATTAGAAATTCTCTCTGCAGTGATCAGAATGGAAGACAGATTGATGGAAAAGCCTATTCTGTCCCAGTATTGAGCAGTGAGCTGTTCACAGATGTGCTTGTTGTGCTTGATCATCTGTTGATGTGCAGTTGTAAAAACACATAATTTCTGTTTTGCTCCCCAGGGGAAAATGTCAAAGAATTCTTTTCCCGAGTTGCTGCCTTGGCCTTTGAACAGTCCATGATAAAGGAGCTGGAGAACACTCCTGGGCACGTGGCCCAAATTGGGGCAGGAAATCTCATCAGTATGTGGAGTTTTGGTTTTTGTGTCTGTTTTCCTTGTTTACAGTCTGAAGGACCAGGGAGGTTTTTCAAGCATTAAAAGCCAGTTTCAAACACCTGCAAGCCTATTCATGTCACTGTCTCCCCAGGTTCTACCCTACAGGAGTGACTGAGCCTGTATCCAGCTTTTGTTACCCTTAGTACTGGATGGTATCATTTCCTGTGAATTGATTTTATAACTTTCCTGTTTCCACAGACCTGGGGAACACTATGGAAATCCCAGAAGGCAACGCTCAAGTCAGCCCGAGTTGCTGCTAATTGTCAACTGTTCCTTCAAGCACCGCACTTCCCTGCAGCACCACACAGAGCACCTGCAGCCATGCAAGCTCTCAGGCCAGAAATACAGAGCTTTAATTTGGGAAACAAGGGAGCTAAAACTTGGCCAAACTTTCTTTCTGAGAGTTCCCTTGGTGCTGCAGGCTCCTTGTGCAGGGTGGTGAAATTGTTACATAAACCTTTCTCTGGGTAGTCGAAACATAACATCCTTAATGCAAGAAGACATTGCCAGTGCCATGTGCTCACCTGTCTGCCAGAAATGCTTGTAGTCAAAAATGATGTCATTTTAGTGTGTTGTTCTTTGATAATTCTCTAGAAGTCTTAGATAGTGAAGTTGCATTCCCATGGGGGCAGGAAACAAGGGGCAGTTCAGAATAAAGGGTGCTATCCACATGTTTTTGCCTTTTAAAGTCATAGTATAAAATAACTCTGATTTGCTTTTATGCATTCCAAGTATTTTGAAACTATTTCAATATAAATCTTTTTAAGTGTCAGGTATGGAAGTACACAAATGCAGACTGCATAGTTTCCACTGTAGTTTCTCCATCCAGGAAAAATCTGTATAATTTTTCATTTTCCACTTGAGAATCAGAGCCCAGTATTTAAGTATTTCCAAGCCTAGGAGAAGTCCAGGTAGGAACTTTGTTGTTTTATCCCATCTGTCTAATATTTTGAAAATCTTCCCAGATAAGAATGCTTTTCTTTTCCACTCACTTGAATAAGTCTCACAAGTGCATAATATGGAACACATATCTTCTGAAGAGGATGCAGATTCCTTCTCTGCAATGATCTTCATGAATATTGTCTACATGCGGTTCTACTTTGTTGCTAAGAGTAATTCACAGATTTCACAAAACATTCCTAGTTGGAAGGGACCCACAAGGATCATCGAGTCCAGCTCTTCAGTGAGTGGCCCATATGTGGATTGAACCCACAACCTTGGTGTTATTGCACCCTGCTCTGACAACCTGGTTTGTTTGTGGTTGCTTGTTTGTTTTTGGTAATAATATAAAACGATTTTGGATCCATATGTGGTGTCAGTCATGAACCTGATCACCCCTGTCTGAGGTGGGATCTCAGAGCCAGCAAGGTTGGATTCCATACTGAGGTAAAGCAGCTTTAAAGTGCTCTTTTTTGCTTTGGGCAACAATGACTGATGCCCAAAGACATTCCTTTTTCAAAGGTTGTTCCTGCTGACAAATACCATTGCCAGAAATTACTGCGACAAATACTTGGCCAGTGTTTGTGAAATTGCATTAGTATGCTTGATTATGCTAATTAGGTTTAAACAAAAGAAAGGGAAGGGATGTACACTCATTTTATTTCCCTCTAAGTTTTCCAAAGCTGACTGAATTCTAACATTCAATTGTATCTAGTTAATGATGTTTCTCTAAAGATAAATCTTTTGCTTGCAGTAAACTGTTCAAATGTATGGCCCTTCAAAATCACTGTAAGCACTCAAATCATAGAGCTAACAAAGGAATCAAGGTGGGATAACAGAAACGCTCTCTAGGAATCTATCAGCAGCTTAGAACTCCCATGTTTCTAAGATTTATATCCAGCACTTTAACGCTATGCTGGCATTGAAAAAAAAAATACAGTATTTTAAATTTCATACTGCAATAATTTTAAATTGAGAGAAAGAAGAAAACTTATATGAATGGTTACAAGTTACAGTTTCTTAAGGTATTAATTTAATCACTGCAGAAACAACAGTATCTGGAAAACTAATTGTAACAGGCCCTTTCAGAGTTGAGCTGCTCAGAAATAAGGACGTTTGTTAATAAAGCAATGCATCAAACTGAAAATACTCTGGATTCTTTGACATTTTCCCCAATTTGTTTGATCAGACATGGGGAAAAAGTGAAGAAAAGATGACTTAAACATCTTTTTAATTACTTTTATTTCCTTGTGACGTAAGTTACAGCAGCTTCACAGAAAACGATGAATAGAGATCTAAGAACTCTCTGTCTGTTTTATTGGACAATCCTCACTTTGGCAATTGTGCTGACTGTTGGCAAAGACACAAATGTAGCATTTGGTGGAAAAAATGAATCTGTGAGGGTATGTAAGGAGCTATTTATCCAAATGTGTGATATTTTGACCTTCTGGTGTTCCGTGGATTAGTCCAGCTCCCGAGTCTGCTTCGCAAGGATGACAAATGCACACTCTGCCTGTGCCCCGTGCTAGGCCGAGCAGGCAGCGTGGCCACGGCCTCGTGTCTGCTGAGGCTGAATGAGAGCAGGAAAGCTGGTTCCCTCTGCTGCAGCAAGTCCTGCTGGCTGGGCCTGGTGCTGGGTGTCAGTGCTGACATGCTGGGTTAGTGTTTACAGTGCAAAATGACTCGGTAACAAATCCCAGAAAAAATTCAGCGGTTTTTTCTCCCCCTCAAGAAATATATGTCCTAAGGGGTTCTTTTGTTGATGAGCTTGGTTATTGTTATAGAATCACAGAGATGCAATCTCTTCAACAACACAATCATGGTGCTTGGAAAATCAACTGGGACAGGTTTTCTTCTAGTGCTTCAGTACACTGCTTGATGTCATTACTGTTTAGTATCATCTGGAGCTCCAGAAAGTTCAAATACAAATGCAGTGCTCTGTCAGTCATTAACTGGGACTTGACAATGGCCTGACTCCATCTCTATTATATGATGGATGCTTTGAGACTGGGGTTTTTAGTCGTTGGTGTATTGGTTTTTGTTTGGTTGGGTTTTTTTCTCTCGGTTGGTCAGTTTTAAGGGGGGTTTTTTTAGTGCTACTGAGATTTCCCCTTCAACGAACTCAGAATTAATAACTGATCATCTAAAATGAATCTTGGATCATGTTGCAAACAATGAGTTGCTTAGGAAAGCACAAAGGAAACTAACATAGAAAATAAATATAAATTTGCAAGTTCTATCTGGTCAATGTTATCTACCTATGTTAATCCATTCTATCAGCAAATTAACTGGCATTGAAGAAGCCTTAATATTATGGAAAACAGTGTTGACGAAACTGTATTAACTGTAACCATAGGTGGGCTAAACCACAATCTCTGTACCAGCTGAAATCCCCACAGTGATCATGGCAACAATCTCAACTCCAGCTTCCTTGTGGAACTTTCAGGTGAGAAATTGAAGAAGTGAAATTTGGATTCAGTCCAAAGCAAAGGTAAAGAGCCATTGGAATAATCAGTTTCCCCCAGGAAGAACTAAAGTTTCTTGTTTTAATAAGTAGAAGCTTAATGTGTTAATGGTTTCCTGGTTATATAAAGGTGCATTTGTGCTGAGCAAAACTACTGGCAATGCATCAAAAGCTATCTAAAAAAGTCAACAAAGTTAATTTCTTACTATAAAAGCCTTTTCAATTTTAATCGTGTTGTTTTGCCTTTTGAGTGATTATTTGTCACTCAGGATATTATGATTTATAGTCATATAGGTCATGCAATTCAGATCTTTCTGAATCCTGTTGGGTCCCAGCTCGGGTTTGCCTTGTGGTGTGACTGGAGTCCATTCTTCACAAAGAAATCTGTCCCCTCTGTGCCTTTTCAGGTTTTCACCAACAGTTAGAGGTTGTTCTAATACAATGCACTGGTGAATGAATGCTCTGAACCCAGCTCTTTATCACATCCTCTGAGCAGGAGAGTTAAAATGAAGTGTTTGGTGAGTTGTAGGGGAATCTGCATTTGCTAGTGGAGAGGGTTGCTCAGTTTCCTGTGGTTTTGGCCAGAAGGTTGTTTTCACAGCGAGAAATTGCCATTCTCTGAATTTGAAGAGGAGTTCCTTTATTTCTAAGTACATAGAATGATTTGAATGATGCTGCAGGGAACGTCTCAAGACTTGCCAGCCTTGTCAAACTCTCCCAGGGTTCTGCTTTGTGTTCACAAAAATCCAGTTGCTTAGTTTCAGCCACAGACTAATCAGATATCATATTTTAATTCTCATTTTAAAAGCTCAACTTATGTCCTACGTTTTTTTTTTTTTTCTTGCAAAACCTCCCGTTCTTTCGCGAGGGATCAGGCTGAAGGACGGTTCCTAAGTGACAGCTCGAGAGCTTTTCCCTAAGCCAAGCGGCTCCTCTTCCCACAAGAGGGAGCCCGACGGTCACTGCAGGATGAGATCCGTGCCGGCTCGGAAGGGCTGCGCGATCTCTCGCGGGCCAGCAGAGGGGATGTGCCGGGCACTCTGTCCGTAGTTTAGCTCCTCATCGCAGGATTCTCAGCCTCAAATCACAGGTATGTGTCTGCCACCATAGTCTTAATGAAATTTTGTATCCTATCAAAATGCTGAATGCATAAGTGTCAGTAAAAATTCAGAGAGCCCTTCAATTCCCAGAGGAAAATCTTTGTGGTACCTCAATAGGTAAAGAGGGTGTAGTTGTTTAACAGTATTATTCACTTAAAAGTTAAGTCTGCACATAGAAATCCCTCATCTGACTCAGAGGAATTCTTACTCCCTCCAGAAAGGGCACCAGTGTGGACCCAAATAGAAAACAGACATAAAAACCCAGGATGGTGAGACCTCAGTGAAAGCACTGGATGAATTCCGAACACATCCCTGGGATGTGACATACCTGCCATTGTCAGAACCATGCCAGTGCCGTCTGAAGCTTCAGATTCCAGAAATAAATTGCATGTCAGGATTTCATTGGTCCAACTGGCACTAAGCAAACAAATAGTATCAATGGGGAAAAGGCATTTTATTTTGTTTCTGTGATAGAGATTTCTTGAAAGATTTATAGAGTTATTTATTGAATATATAGGTTTTATTATGATTTAGATTATAATCTATTTTCCATATAGGTCAGCCAAAGCCTGTTATGTGTTAAAAGCTGAGGAAACAAGTGCAGGAAAAGAGGTTAAAGCCAGGAAACAAAAACTGAGAGGGATGAACTATGCAAAATGGAATGATTAGCCATTTGTGATATGTTTGAAAATACCCAAAAATATTTTGTTTGGCACATAAAAATACATGAAGAGAAAAACTTGGATTTTGAAACAGTACATATCTCAAAGGTAAGAGAGCTACTCCTGTGGAGTTGTGCTTTTCATTCTTGTGGGATTTTATTAGTTCTTGTTGGGGCTGTATCCCACCCTCTTTTCTAACAAGTACCAGAAAAGATCACCTCACTGCAGATATGAAGGCAGCAGGTTTATGGAGGATATGAGATGTACATATCTCACCTTTTCCTGTCATCCAAACAGGCAAGATGGAACTTCAGTTGTATTTGTTACCATTCTTTTCAGAGATCGAATTAATACATGGAAGAGACACAGGGTTTAAGCAAGATCATGATTGGTGATTTCAGGAGTAGTAGAACTCAGCAGCCAGACCTTTGTTTAAATCATTTGCCACCCTTCACCCAGAGCTGGGGCGTGGGACTCTTGAGTTATTTGAGCTAGGATAATACACAGGACAAAAGTGAGACTAATGCAGAACAAAGCAAGCCTTATTGTGGGTCTCATAGTTATTTTGCCCATCTCAGAAATCCAGGTTGTCATTTATTGGCAAGGAAGGCAGGACTGAGGGAATGACAAGCCTGCCTCCAAGCAGCACTCACACGAGTGGGGGAAAATGTGACCTTTGAAGGTGAGCTGCATCAGTGCCTGCGGGGAGAGCCTTGCTGTGAGCACAAGAGAGAGCACAGAGACGTGCTGGTGTTTATACATAATATATGAGGGCATGGCTGTATGGGCCAGGATGGATACCTCCCTTTGCACTGTGTGCATGCTGCGCTCTTGCCTAGGCTTGGGCATAGCCATGTCTCTGTGATGCGATGATGTCCAGGCCTGTGGCTGCAGGCGCGACTTCGCACGTCCCCGCCTTTGTCTCGGGGGCAGCCGCGGGGAAAGGGCAGGGTCCCCCCCCAGCCCCGCGGGGTCCCGCGGCCCGGCCGGCCCGGCTGCCCCTTTAAGAGGCCCCAGCGCCGAGTCAGTGCCTGCGCCGGGTCCTTCCCTCTCCTCCCCTTCCGCAGCGCCGGGGCCGGGCCGCGATGGGCCGCCGCGGGCAGCGGCTGCCGCGCCGCCGGGGGGGCTCCCGCGGGGCCGCGGGGCGCCCGGGCACGGCCGGGTAGCGCCGGAGCTCGGGCCGGACCCGCCGCAGCAGCGCCGCTCCGAGCCGAGCGTGTGCGCCCGGAGCGCAGCACAATAGCCGGGAGGAGGAGACAGGGAAAGGGGCAGGGGGAAAGGAGGAGAGAGAAAGAGAAAGCACAACACGGGGGCTGGCGAGGCAGGACGGAGCGGAGGAGGACGGAGCGTGGCTGCGCCGAGGACCGTGCCCAGGACGGCGGCGGCAGGAGGTGGGTGGGGGGCGATATTTACCTTCCCTCCCCCGCCCCGAGCCTGCTCCTTTGTCCACCCACTTTGAAGTGCTCGGGGATCGCCGCGGTGGGAGCATTGTTGTTCGCCAGCAAGCGATCAGTCATGCCGGGGAGAGAGTAGCGGGGGGACGCGGGGCTGGGGCCGGCACAGGCTGAAGGATACAGGGAGGAGAGAGGATTGCGAGAGACGATCGCCGCTCGCCTCCCAGTGCCCCTGCATGGACCGTGAAAGAGACGCGCTGAGTTGACCCCGCCGGAGCTGTTTCTGCTTCTACATGTGAGATCCGGTTGGTTTTTTCTCTCCACCTCTCTCTCTCCAGCCTCCTTCTCGTATTCTCCAGTTACTCCTGTATGCAAAATGGTGGACCCTGTGGGGTTTGTGGAGGCTTGGAAAGCACAATTTGCAGACTCTGAGCCTCCTAAAATGGAGCTGAAATCTGTGGGAGATATTGAACAGGAGCTGGAGATGTGCAAAGCATCTATCCGGAGACTGGAGATGGAAGTGAATAAGGAGAGGTTCCGCATGATTTACCTGCAGACTCTTCTGGCAAAGGAGAAAAAAAGCTATGATAGACAGAGATGGGGTTTTAAACGTGTTTCTCAGTTGCCTGAAGGGGGTGCAGAGCAGCAGATCCAGGACCTGCATCATCACCAGTCTGCTGACCAAGACGAATATGAAAAAAGCAAGTCACACCACGGGGAGGAAAAGTTCAAACCCAGGATCCCCTCTCTGCGGAAGCTGTCTACCCAGAGTGATGGGTCAGACCTGTCCCCTTTGGACAGCCCCCATCACGGAGAAGGAGAGCAGGACAGGTCTAAGTACTATGGGGAGGAGAAACTGAAGAGAGTTGTAGAAGATATGGAGAATCGCTGTGATACAGATGGCTCTCCTTCAAAACACAGGTCGGCTTCCACTCGTAGGCTGGCGGGATCTGCTGAGAAGGAGGGATCATTTGAACCTAAGGAGAGAGGGAACAGCACCAGTGTGGCAGCCCTGAGGTCCAATTTTGAGAGAATGAAAAAGGTTAACTCACATTCTTCTGGAGATAACAAGGATGTTGTTGAAAAGCCCTTTTACGTGAACATGGAGTATCATCATGAGAAGGGTCTAGTAAAGGTCAACGACAAAGATGTTTCTGATAAAATAAGCTCCCTTGGCAGCCAAGCCATGCAAATGGAACGCAAGAAGTCTTTGCACTCCCTCCCTTCTAACATGGTACCCAGCTTCAGCGAGTTCCAGAGGCCTGCCTACAGGGGAAGGTCCTCGGAGAGCAGCTTTGGCTATGATGGAGAATACGAGGATGCCGAACTGAACCCCAAGTTTCTCAAAGACAACCTGATTAATGCCAATGGCAGCAACCGCTCACCTTGGCAGCCCATGGACTTCCAGCCGTATCAAAGTATCTACGTTGGTGGAATGATGGGGGAAGGAGAAGGAAAAGGACCTATTTTGCGAAATCAGGGCACAACTGACCAGGAAAAACATCTCACGTGGCCCAGGAGATCTTATTCCCCAAGGAGTTTTGAAGACATTGGAGGAGGATATACTCCTGACTGTAGCTCTAATGAGAACCTTACTTCCAGTGAGGAAGACTTCTCCTCAGGACAGTCCAGCCACGTCTCCCCCAGCCCCACCACTTACCGCATGTACCGGGATAAAAGCCGTTCTCCCTCCCAGAACTCTCAGCAGTCCTTTGACAGCAGTAGTCCCCCAACCCCCCAGTCTCAAAAACGGCACAGGCAGCAGCAGGTCATTGTGTCTGAGGCTACTATTGTGGGTGTACGAAAAACAGGACAGATCTGGCCAAGTGACGGAGATTTGCCCTCTGGGAGGTGTCACCAGGACAGCTGTTTCCATGGGGATACAGGTGCGTACCAGCTTTTGTTGAGTCTTTTAAATGTATAGAGCGGGGAATGGCATTGTGGAAGAGAATGGGGTACCCTGGGTGAATTGCTGTGAGCAGCCAACTGTGTCATGTGAGAAATCTGTGTTTATTTTGTAGTTCTGCTGTTTCAGGAAGGTCCTACAGAAGTAAATGTCAGGCTGTGTTTTAGGAAGTCACCCTGGATTCCCAGAAGGGTCAATTCAGGCCTCTCTGGAGAGAATCAGTGGAGTCCCATGTTAATCAGTTCTTAAAGTTTCAGTGTGAACACTGAGGTGAAAGGGGGCCAGGACTTCAGCAGGTATTCACCAGCTGTGGTAAATTCACCGCCAGATCATTCCCTCCCTCGTGTTCGCGCACTAAGGAGTAGTTAAACTCTTCCTCTGAGGTTGTAGTGTGCCAACATGCTGCAACCTGAGGGTTTTGCTGGAGCTTTCCCGATAATGATGCTGCTCCCACAATCTTGTTTTTTCCTGTCTGTATTAATTGGAGTGCTCGTTTCTCGTTCTGTCTCGTGTCAGCCTTCAATTAGAGCTGATTGGAGGTGATGATTGTGCAACGCTGTTCTTGAAGCTTTCTGCTATCACTGAGTGAGGGAAGAACTTGGAATATTAGGAAGCCCTGAGGGAAAGATGTTAATTTAATTTCAGCAGAATCTCAATTTTTGTTTGGGGAAGAATGGGCAGTGTTTGAACCCGTTCCTATGTAAGCCATTCAGGCATGCAGGTGTGTCTGTGGAATCACAGTGAATTTATAGTTGTTGGAAGAGACATACGAGGAACTATGTTAATTCAGATAGATTTACTGAATGTATGTGGACATCTGAATCTATTTAGCAAAGGCAAGGCACACAATGTAAATAGTATCTTGTGCTAACACCTGCAGTCATTTATGCAGTAAATGAAAATCAAATCCAGGAGTGAAAAAAAAAATAAGAATGTTTGTTTTGACACACTTCTGTAATTCTAAATCTGTGAGTTCTCTTGTGGGTTTTCTTTGTCTCTTTGAATCTCTCATTTTAATAAGGTGTTAATATGTTATTTGTCAATGGGACCAAATTCCTGAAGTAGCAGGTGAATCGAGAGGCCTGTCAAATGCTGTCACTGCCTCAGGTTGTGTGAGTTTGCTATATTACTTCTTAGAAGAGTAACTTTGCTGGTAGAAGATGCCTGGTTCTACTCTCCGTGCCAGTTGTTCTTGCCAGTAGTACTTTTGGGAGCAACAATAGAGGGAGAACTCTTCCCTGCCCCACCACCATCCTCATATCCCATTGTGATATTGGAAGGCT